GGAGTGGTGGCGCAGAGGTTGGAGAAGGTGGGCCTGTGATCGGAAGATCGCCGGGTCAAGCCCCGGTATCGACAACATCAAAAATGTGGGTGGGGTAGGTGGAGCACCCACACCTGCCTCCACCCTCATTTGCCCCACTCTGGACCCCTGAGCAAGGCCCTTCACCCCCATCATCCACTCCCAAAAAACAGTCTCTCTCACAAATGAGTTTTCGTGACTCAATGAGGCTTCCTGTATAAATAAAGGGTAAATGAAAAAAAAAAGAAATACATACTTACATACATACACACATAAGCATACATATACATGTATATACATATGCATATGTACATATAAATATAGAGTACATACCAAGGGCGTCAGAAGCATCCGTAATGTGGGGGCACAATGATGTGTGTACATGCGACGAGCATTTTAAAAAAAATGTACAAAAAAGCAGCATTTCACCAAGATTTCCTTTAATTCCACAAATTTAAAGCATGTTTCTCACCAAGTTTGTGTAAATTCATCTGTGGGTTTTTGACATTTTAACTTTAATACACTTTAATACAGAGCCTCAGGTCGGCACTATTTGTGTTTATAGAGAAATAAAAAAACATCACCACTAGACATTTTTACTTGTGTTCAACACTACTCATCTAAATGATGTTTCTCATGAAGCTTGAGGACAATAAGGTGTGGGGTTTAAAAGATATTTCAACTTTAATGCACCTGAACTTGCTTTATCACCATTTGTGGTTCGTATAGATGGGAAGCAGGTGAAAAATATCCTTGAGTAAAATTACCACAAATGGTTGTGACCAAACCCTGAGAGATAAAACAAACAAACTAAAGTTTTAAAAGATTGATGCAGAACACTATGCTCTAAAACCTATGAGCAGAGGAGAAATTCAATTATGGTCATTATTTGACACATACAGTGTAGATGTCCTGTTGTAACTCTTTGTTGTCTTCTCAGTAAACATGTTTCAAATTTAAACAGTAATTAAATATTCCCCTGCTTCTCTATGACTTTGTCACACGTTGGGTAGTTGAGAAGTAAAAGCTACTTTTTATATAATCTCACTTCATACAACTGAAAAACAAACAAACAAACAAACAAACAAAACAAAAACAAGTGACTTCATGTTTTATCTGGCAACCCTAAATTTTCTTACAGTTTGATGTCCAATAGAGCAACAATCTTCATGACTGTGTTTCCAACAGTTGTCTGAAAAATGTTTCAGAAGATTAGCCGCTTTCAAAGACTCCGTTATCTTCCACTGCTTGTTATTAATAGAACTTCAAACAAAAAAAATGTATTTTTTTTAGCTCTTTCAGGGCCTGGAGGTAAAATCCTTTTGTTTTCTTTCCAGATGTTTGAGTTCAAACAGGAAGAAATAGTTTAATCATGATCATCTGTTTGATTAGACAAAAGGAGGGAAAACAGTTTAAGGTATTTTTCTGTGTAAAATACAGCATGAGATCTGAAAATACCATACCATACCATTTTATTTATAAAGCACTTAAAACAGCTACAAGGCCAACCAAAGTGCTGTACAGACAGAACAACAGGTAACACATGAAGCAATATACAAAATGAAGTAAATAGCATGGTTCAAAAAACAATTGGCATAACAAATCCATCTGGATGTGGGACAGATAACAGCTGACTTGGTCTTGTTAGGAAATATTTAATGAGCGGAAGATCATTTGGCAGAATTCAGTCACTGAAAGACTGGGACATACCAGAGAGGATAGTTATCTAATGCAAACAGGACATGAGCTAAACTTGAACTCTCTTTGAAAAACAAACAGCGAAGAAGCCACATAGAAACATCCGTTTAGCACACGCTTCTGTTTTAAAACAGGCTTTTGTGCCACTTAACCTAAATTTATTTTTGTTTTAGTTAGCATTTATTCTTTAACATTTACCTTTTTTTGAAATACTGTAATTAGAGTGTCAAAGTTCATGTTCAATAATCCAGCTAAAAAAAATCCAACAAAGTTCAGTCAGGTCCTCTGGACTGTTTCTTTGTGTTGAAACATTTTATCTTTCATCCAAAGGACTTCATCAGTCCAAGGAACCACAACAATCTCAGTCCCAGAAGCAGCACACTCACATTGTGGACCAACCAGTTTGATGGTGCTAAGATGGTTTCTGGAGTCTGCCCTCTCCCCCGTCAACTCCTCTGAGGCAGCCATGGCCAAAGTGGTTCAAAACACCAAAGTTCATGCTCAGTAATCCTTTGGTGTTTTGAACCACTTTGGCCATGGCTGCCTCAGAGGAGTCAACAGGGAAGAGAGAAACCATATTAGCACCATCAAACTGGTTGGCCCACTATGTGACTGTGCTAATTATGGGACTGAGTTTGTTGTGGCTCCTCAGACTGATGAAGTCCTTTGGATGAAAGATGAAATGTTTCAACTCAAAGAAACAGTCCAGAAGACCTGACTTAACCTTGCTGGATTTAATTAGATTACATTTTGTAAAGGCTTTCCTTATTTTGGCTGCAAATGTGAACGTCACGTTTAATGTGAAAATATCCTGTTCAAACTTTGGAAAGTAAATAAATCAAGTTTAAGAGTTAGTGTCGATAGCAGATTAACATGATTCACATTAGCTCAAACAGTGACTTTTACTGTATTTGTTATTTCTGGAACATCTGGGTCTTTTATTGTGAAAAAGAAAAAAATTAAACAAATTATAATATAAGTTCTTACAGATAAAAGAAAACATTGATTATCTAATCACTCTAGTACAATGCAGTCATTTAACACTCAGAACAAATATTAATATTTTAATTTCTGGGAGTTGATTTGTTGTAAACAAGAAAAATTTAATTGTAACAACATAAAAAAACAAGATCTAAACAACGACATCAGTGAACTGGCTTCCTTTGGCTCACTGATTCAAGTGAAGCGCAGAAGGTGGTCAGCGTGGTTTGAATACATGAAAAAACTACTGGAAATAAATTAGCTAAATAATATTGTTAGGGTAAAATAAGTTGGACAGCTTTCCTTGTATCAAAATATTTCCAGCTGTAAGTGTCTCCAATGGGAAAAGAAGTGTCAGAAGTGGACTGCAGAGCAGCTGAAGACAGTAGTCTGCTTGGAAGAATCTTGTTTACCTTAGGAGGAAATAAAATTCAGATGCATTAAGTGGAAAAGACAAATCACGGGAGGCTGTGCTGACCACGGTCTGCTAGATCTGCAGAAACAATGCTGTGAAGCACCAGTGTTCTCTAACACCAGAGGCTTTGCTCAGCTACATAATGCTCCTTGCCTTAAAGCTAAAAATGTTGTCAATGTTTTGTGAAACATCAAAGTCATTCAGAGGTGTTGAGAGGGCCTTCTAATTCCCAGAATCTTACTGTCATCCAATATCTGTGGACCTTGCTGGAAAAACAGCTGTAGTCCACAGAGGCCCCACGTCCTCACATCGTACAGGATCTGCTGCTGATGACTTTGTGTCTGATACAGCCAGACGCCATCAGAGGTTCTTTAGACTCAATGGGTCAACGGGACAAGTCTCAAGGAGACCCATAACTGACTGCTGGATTTAAAGTTGATACTGATCAGTGTTGTTTTATTGTTTTATTTTTTATTGGACTCTATTAATCCCCAATGGGGAAATTATTTCTCTGCATTTTTCCCGTTGCACATGTGAGCACACATGTGAAGCAGAGGGCTGCCATCTAACTCAATTCAGTTCAGTTTATTTGTATAGCACCAAGTCACAACAGAAGTCATCTCAGGACACTGAACAGAAACATTCAAAAAAACACAAGTTAACGCAATTTATCTGAGGAGCAGACTGCTTTCAATTTAACTCCATCGCAGAACTCTCATCTTGAGCAAGCATGAAGGCGACAGTGGAAAAGAAAAACTCCCTCATGAGGAAGAAACCTTTAGCAGAACCAGGCTCAGGACAAGTGGTCATCTGCTTCGACCGGCTGGGTTTGGGAGGAACAGATACACAATGGCAGATCAAGAATCACGTTAAAATAGAAATAGTATCAAATGAAAACTATTCAATTTTAGCAAATCATTTAAGGAAATGGGGCAGCACGGTGGCGCAACTGGTAGAGCTGCTGCCTCTCAGCGAACAGGTCCCTGGTTCAAATCCCGGTCCGGGGGCCTTTCTGGGTGGAGTTTGCATGTTCTCTCCGTGCATGCGTGGGTTTTCTCCGGGTACTCCAGTTTCCTCCCACAGACCAAAAACATGCATGTTAAGCTGATTGGTAACTCTAAATTGTCCCTAGGTGTGAGTGAGAGAGTGAATGGTTGTTTGTCTCGTTTGTCTCTATGTGTCCCTGTGATGGACTGGCGACCTGTCCAGGGTGTACCCCGCCCCTCGCACAGTGATTGCTGGACATGGGCACCAGCGACCCCTGTGACCCAAAAATGGAATAAACGGGTAAAGAAAATGGATGGATGGATGGATGGATTTAAGGAAATGAGGTCAGTTTTTCCTTCTGTAGTCTTTAAGCTTAAGGCAGCATAACAAGCCAACCCTAACTATAGGATTTATAAAAAATGAAAGTCTTAATCCCAGTCTTAAAATTGGACAATGTGTCAGCCTTATGGACAGAAACTGGAAGTTGGTTCCACAACAGAGGAGCATGATAACTGAAAGATCTTCCTCCCATTCTGCTTTTGGAGACCCTAGGAACCACAAGTAAACCTTTGATAGCAACGTGTTCTGTTGGGAAAATATGGAACAATAAGATCTCGAATATAATATGGAGCTAGGTTGTTGAGAGCTTTGTAGGTTAGAAGTAAGATTTTGAATTCAATTCTGGACTTGACAGGGAGCCAATGAAGAGAAGCTAAAACTGGAGAAATATGATCTCTCCCATTAACTCCAGTTAAGACTCTGGCAGCAGCATTTTAGATCAACTGAAGACGTTTTAAAGAAGTATTTGGACACCCAGATAATAAACCATTGTAATAGTCCAGTCTAGACATGACAAATGCATGAACCAGTGAATCTAGGGCACTCCGGGAGCAGCTGGGGGCGTTAAGGGCCTTGCTCATGGGCCCAGAGCAGGGCAAATGAGGGTGGAGGCAGGTGTGAGTGTTTTTCCTTTTCCACCCATATTTTGATGTTGTCGGTCTGATCACAGGCCCACCCTCTCTAACCTCTGCACCACCACTCCTCCGTTTATACAGCAAATGAACAATTGTCGATATTTGCATTTTATATAAAATATACTGTAAACACCTTGCAGTACTTTTGTTTCTGTCTTGTGCTTCAGAATCGATTCATCCCTGAAGGCGCGCTGGAAATTCATAATGGTGGGCAGAACGCTCGCTTTGGCTCAGCCCTCGCTCCTGTCCCTGATCTCAACGGTGACGGCTTTAATGACTTGGTGGTGGGGGCTCCGCTGGAAGATGACCACAAAGGAGCCATTTATGTTTTCTTCAGTCAGCACAACAGAATACTGCGCAAATACAAACAGGTAGAGTATTCACAAACAGTAAGAACAAAGTAAATACATCTGTGTGTTTCGTGCCTTCTGACCACATCGACTCTACATACAAATGTAGAGGTTTTCAAACATAGTAAAGGTTTTGGATGTTCCAATCACAATATTTATTACCTGTTTTACTTCAGTCATTTTTTTAAATACCTGAACTGGTAAGTCTTTCTACACAAAGCAGTCCTGAACCTGAATGTCCCTGAACTAAAATAAGTAAAACATCATTATTACACATATGCAACTTAAAAAATAATCTCCTGACATCTGGCAAAGTTCTGAAAAATTTGTACTTGCATATGTGTGTTGCGAAAGCAGATAATATCAATTAAAAAAACTACATTGTGTTTGATTTTTGCATTTATGTAATAAAATCCCATTTTCACATCAAAGCAGCAGATTCTTGTTCTGCAACAAACGTCTTGTAAAAATTTGCCTTGATGATAATTTGTGAAATAAGCTATAATAAATAAACCTGGCAGATATCATTTTCAAGGCCTACTGTATCTTGAAAAGGTGTCCTGGAGTTGTGAGTTGGAGCCCGGATTGTGTCAGAAAAGAAATCCAGAGTAAAACAATTGCCAAACTTATGGTACAATTTATTTTCCTGTTTTGCAAAATTTATGTTCAGACACTAAATTTGCATGTTTTTTAATGTGTTGGATCGTTGGTTAAAGTTATTAGCTTATACAAAGTAAAGAAAACCTTATGGATAATCACAACAACTTGAATCTGTACAGTGATTTTCATAGTGCGCGTTTGCACCCGTCAGCCAACCTACATAAAAACCTAATAAAACTTTACATATAGGATTACAATAAACAACAAAGTAAAATGCACAAGGACAGAAAAGACTGTCAAGAAGAAAACACTAGGTTAAGACTTTATGCTTTGACAGACTAACAGGTCTTTATGCAGTCTGGATTAGCAGCCAACATAATGATGCAGACAATGGCTGGTATTTATTTAAAATATAATATTTGCAGTAAATTGGAGTAAAATGTCAGAAACACACCAGACAAAGCTTAAAAGACTTAGGCCCTGTTTACACGACAGCGATCCAATAAAAACTGATTATTTTTCTCATTTCTATGAACACATTTACATGAAAACATTCTAATTGAAATCTCTATTTACACAGCAACGGTATACGTGGAAAATGTGTAATTCCCTCACCACGACACTAGTTGGTGCTATGTTCTTTGAAACTTGAAACTAAGTGCGCACACGTTAAAAAAAAATAATAAAAACGTTATACCTGTAAGCCGCTATAACGGTTGAGTTGGCAGAGAATAAATTATTTCTATGGACAGACAACGAGGTTCAACTGTTGCTTAGGGTGACTTTGAATTATAAAACCATCAAATTTCAAGAGAACATTGACTGGGAAAATGACCACTGTGTTAGAGAGCCGTAATGAGATTTATAAGAGTCAGAAGCACAAGCAATACTCTGGTATCTCCACTGTCAATAGTTTCTTCTGTGGATTGTAGGAAGCCATTATGTTTTTCGTCATACTGCATATGAGCCAGTGATTCCCTGAAAGAAATATATATTTTTTTCTGTTTTCACGACAACGGACACCGGGATGTTTGTGAACCATTGTTCTCTGGAACCCATTCTCAAATTGTGCCGTTGTCAGAAAAACATTTACTATTTTTGCATAAATGAACAGTACGAACGCAACAAAACTCTTCCATTTTCTCCAGAAATCGTTTTTGTGTAAACAGGGCCTTAGAAAAACCATTGTTGTCACTAAGAAACTGGTCATTTTTAAAGTTTAAAAAAAAATAAAAAATTATTGTTTGTAGATTTCTGTAGAAATCTACAAAGTACAAACCTTTAAAGAAAAACTTTTAAAAGGCTTTCAAAATGCAAGCAATGTGTTACAACATTGCAGCAAAATGCAAGGCAATGTCAATGAATGCTTTTAATGTTTCCCAATGGTATATTTCCACTTACAAAGCTTTATTAGTTATTGATCCATATCAGTGTAAACTGTGGTTAATGCCAGTCTAAAGACTGCTCTGTTTTCTTCAATCTGTTTTTTTCAGAGGATAGCAGCTGTAGATTTGGCTGCAGGCCTGCAGTACTTCGGTCGCAGTATTCACGGCACAATGGACATGAACGATGACGGTTTGGTGGACCTGGCAGTGGGTTCTCTTGGTGCTGCCATACTTCTTTGGTTTGTGCATCATCCATCAAAAATTACTGCAGCTCTAAACCATCTATTTACAAATGAATGCCACAACGTACTTTAAAGATTGTAGTTCTACTACTGATGTTAGTGGCTAAGTGTTTTATTCTAAAGAACTGCTGTTGTTAAAAGAAACATTTGCGTAAGCTTATGTTCCATCCCGCCGATGATGGATTGGCCTAAACTGTCTCTCTGTGCCCTCACAGGTCAAAGAGTGTTGTGCGGATTTATACCACTGTCAGGTTTGAGCCCAATAAGGTCAACATCTTTGTGAAAGACTGTCAGAGAGGTGGCAAAGACGTGACCTGCATGTCAGCCATTGTGTGTTTCAACATCACTGCCAGGACGGCCATTCCACCCACACAGGAAATTGGTAAGCCAGTGAAAATAATCAGCTGCAGTGGAAGCATCTCTGCCCAAGCTGAACAAGTCATATTTCATCTGCTAAAGAAAAAGAGTGTTTTGCATGTTTTAGAACCTATAGACAGAAAACAAACCTCGGCCAAAGACATAATGTGTTTGATTTTTTTGGCAATGGTCTTGCGAGTACTATTTGACGTTTGAGGCAATGCATGGCAGCATGAACATTACTTTCAAATGAGAAAAGGTCTTCACTCATCTTAACATATATCCTCCGAGTCTTGCAAACCTTTTCAGCATACAATTGCCTGTAAAAACTCTGATGGCTACTTTTCTTCAGAATGGCGCCGAAAGGAAAAACGGTTTCTTTACTAGCCGTGAGAGATTCTGATCTCACTGCTTTTTCTCTGCCAAAGCTTAAGCTGCAGCCTTGAAAACTGGTACCACTGCACTGTTTTCTCTCTATTAAATGTCCATTTGAGTGTGTAGGAGCAGCCTCTAGAGTCTGCGTTTGTTTTATTTGGTTTATTTGGACTGTTGTTGAGAGTGGTGATGGCTCACGGACTAGTGAAGCGTACAGATGAGCGCTGTGCCACCAAAAGTGTCTGACTCTTAAGCTCGGGCTCATCTGCTCACAATTTATTTTAAAAGTTATAATGACAGGGTCCAGTTTTACTGTTTATCAGGGGGAGCGCGTTCTGAGTTAACCTCTTCACCCTGTGACATCTTTATCAAATCTATTATCTGCGCCAAAACAGAATTAGAGAAAGAACAGACGGAGTTATCTTGTCTTCAGCGCTTGGATCATGCAGGACTCATTTATTTGATTTCCCTGTCGTCATGTCTGGCAGTAATGCAGGGCAGATGTGCTGGTGATTGTGAGGCTTTTGTGGCCTTCCGTCTCGATTAAGTGAGTCTCATTTATAAAAATGTCTGTTCACAATATTTCTGAGACATGAAGGAAAAGGCAAGAAGCAGTTTCGTAACTGATAGTGATGCTTAATGATGTTATGGTGAGAATACTAGTTTATCTCCTCGCATCAAGTTGTGTAAAACATCAGGACTTCTGCAATTTTTCAATTCTCTTCTTGACCTCAAGCACATATTTGCATGCCTTATTTCATTTAGCAGATCTTTCCTTGCATCATGACAACACAAGGCTGCAAATCATCTAAAAAAATCTGGTTTGAAAAATACATTTTTCTAAAGCCTTACTGTTTGGATTCTTGTATTTGATGGTCAAACATTCAGCTTGTGTTCTGAGGCTGTAGTGTGACAATTTCTAGGTCTTTAGATTTTAAACAAGACTTTAGAAAACCCCGTGAACAACGAAGGCTCATAAATTAAAGTTAATTTCAAAATCAAGACAATTACTCACAGTTTTACAAAGCTGTATCAATCTCAATTATTAATCCTCTCTACCACGTCAACAGGGATTAAATATAATGTGTCCATTTTGGAGAGACGTTTCAATCCTCGCGCCGTATTTGATCACCCAAACAAGCTGCAGCCTCTTAACCTGACGCTCCTTCCAGAGGAAGAGACCTGCGAACACTTTTATTTCCACGTCATGGTGAGAAGTGCAAAAGTCACATACAAGCATGCAACCACTGTTTTTGAAATACATGTTTGTTGTGACCATTTCCTTTAATACACATATCAGTTTGGTTCTATAAATAAATAAATGGACAAGTGGGTACCGTATTTTTCATCCAATAAGTCATGGTTTTTTTGCATGTCCTGCGACCTATAGGCTGAAGCAATGTATTTATGGATTTTTTTCTCATATTTATAAACCAATTTTTGGCTGAGATATGACCGTTTTCATTCATTCTGACTGAAAATATTGAACAGTACTATTTTCAGCCGCTAGATGGCACTCGAATAGTAAGACATGACATTGTATCACGTATTAAGTAAAAGTGGCTCTAATGACAAATTTAAAAAAAGTTCAAGACAAAAACACCTGGACTTTGTTTATTATATTTTACTTTATTCTTTATTGTGTTTGTCTTGAACTTTTCTGAATTAACCATGTCCTGGATGACTGAGAATCTTCACTAGCTATTAATGACACAATCGGCTTGCCATAGCCTGCCACCTTTGTTCTGCTCGCTTGGAGCAACCGTCAAATCAGCTTAATTTCACTGCACCGCCTGACGAAACACAGTTAATTTGATCATTAAAGTGCATTTATTAAGTAAAAGTTCAACTGAGACACAGCTTTGTTATAATTTCGAGCAAAAAATTATTGTTTTTAAGTGTTACTCTTGTTAAGTCCTTGTTCAAGGCCTGCCGTGCATGCTCCCGCGGCCGCCATTTGGCAGTCAATCGATTTTTTGGCACAACACCGGCCCACATTTCCAGGTGGTCAGCAGTGACACATGACAAACGCGATGCATCAGCAGCGACACATAATGTGATGTATATGGCGAAGTGATATATTTATGGATTTTTCCACTTTATTAGACATATTGGGACTGATGCTCCTTATAGGGTGGAGTTACGTGTACGGTGGAAAATACAGTATTTGTAGTTTTAGTGAAACGAGCCCATTTTGTGGTATTGAAGTTACCGTCAGTCTGATTTCAGAGTAACTCCACTGGTTAATCTTTGAATGTGATGTATTATATTAGGAGTCCACAGACTATGCAAGGCCCATAGTGTTTGCAGTGCAAGTGGAACTACAAGATCCAGACCAGGGACCGGTTCTGGATGACAGCTGGCCTACTCTGGTGAAAACTGAGGTAGGAGTCATTCTGACCTGAATCCTTTAAAATAACCCTTGATAAATAAAGATCTGACTGAGTCAAATTAAAACAAAAGAAAACGTATGGAAATATTTTAATTGGCAGTAAAGTTTTTATTTTTTACCAGCTGCCTTTCTGGAATGGTTGTGACGAGGACGACCACTGCATGCCGGACCTGTCACTGCAGAGCATGACAGACCTGATGACTCGAAAGTATGTACACACACATGACCACATGCAAGACACACATACAGTAAAGATGATCTGTCTTGGATTTATTTACTTTGCTCTTTCCCAGTCAGTTCTGTGCACGTTCTGTTCGGTCTCGTGGTGCTTTCTGCCGTCATGAAAACGATGAAGGAACAGAGAATTTGCTGCGGGTGCTTGAGGGAAACACAAGGAGGATGTTGGTGGACGTCAAACTGGAAAACAAAGGAGAAAATGCCTATAATGCTCAACTCAATATCACCTGCACACCTAATCTACGCTTCTCCAGCATCATCGTCAAAGTATGCCTTAATCCATTCTTCATCATGAGGTCAGATACATGCTTGCTACAAGTGTTGGAAACTGATTTGTTGCTTTTGTATTTTTATTCAGGATACATCTGACATCAAAATTGATTGTTACACAGAGGACAAGGTAAAGAATGAGAAGATCTGCAACATCAGTTCACCTTTTATGCGAGCCAAAACACAGGTGAGATGATCCTTTTCAATTTGACTGAGAATTATATGATATTTAAAAAAAAAAAAAAACTAATTCTAACAGTTTTGGTGACAAAAACTATGAGTCTGTTTTGGGATTAGTCTTCCGATTCTTTTCCTTTTGGCTGTTCCCTCTTCAGGTGTCTCCACAGCGAATCATCCTCCTCCACCTCACTCTGTCGTCTGCATCCTCTGTCCTCACTCCAACTACCTCCATGTCTCTAACTGCATCCATGTATCTCCTCTTTGTCTTTTTCCTGGCAGCTGCATTTCCAACATCTTTCTCTGTACTCCTTGGTCAGATGGTCATCATTATCTACATGCAGGCTCTCACACTGGTTAATTTTCATCTATAAATCCCTCCTTGGTCTGCTACCTTATATCTCCTCCCACATCATGCCGTCAGTGCAGTTACAGCATGCGCTCTCAGGCCAACATTACATGCAGCGTTCCCTCAGTGCGGACTGAACTTGGCAAAAAGGCTTTTCTTTACTCAGCTCCTATGACCTAGAACACTTTGCAACAGGAACTGAAGTTGTTCTTAATTTCTTTAAGGGGTTTCAAACTTTGATAAGGTCAATAGAAAAATCAAAGCAAACGTTCTTGTTTTTAATATTTCACCCTGTTTTACAGCACCCTGGTTTATTGTGGCTCAGTGAGACTAGCCTGTATAAATAAAGGTTGAATAGAAAAGAAAAAAAACAATATACCCACTGTCCCTCTTCTGGACATGTCCAAACCATCTCAGTCTGGTCTCTCTAACTTTATCTCCCAGTTGTTCAACCTGTGCTGTACCTCTGATGATCTCATTCCTAATTTTATCCATCCTTGTCACTCCCAAGGAGAACCTCAACATCTTCATTTCTGCCACTTCCAGTTCTGTCTCCTGTCTTTTTGTCCATGTCTCTGTCTCCAGACCATACAACATAGCTGGTCTTACAACTGTCTTGTAAACTTTTCCTTTGACCTTTGCTGACCTTTGTCTCAAATCACTCCTGACACTTCTGAAACTTTTCTCCATCCACTCCATCCTGCCTGGACTCTCTTCTTCATCTCTTTACCACACTCCCCATTTTCCTCACTGTTCCACCGGCCTCCCTCTCTTTCACACACATGTACTCTGTCTTACTACAGCTGACTTTCATTCATCTTTGTTCACGTGCATAACTCCACCTCTCCAAGTTCTCTTCCACCTGTTCCCTCTTCAGATAAAGGGATATTTACACAACTACTGTAAGGAAGCTCTGTCTTGGATTTATTTTCTTCACTGTCTCTGAGTAAGTTCTGTGCATCTTCTGCAACTTTGTGGTTGAAGGAAAGGAGGAAGAATAAAAACAGTATTGTAACTTGAAGTAGGTTCGACATATGCCAAAACATTTTCTTCTTTAAGGAAGCTACCATAACTGGCACAGTAGTGGAAAATGTTCCACAGATCAGGAAAATAATTTTGAAATACCACTAACAATAATATATTGAAATAAAATGAAAATAACAACAGTAAACATAATAATATTGAAAATAATATGCAATGATGTTCAACTCAAATGAGAATATGGGTCTTCAACAATAAAACTTACCATGAATCTCCCCTGAGTGACCTTCTGTTACTACACTTTAGTTTTTTACATATTCCACTGCTGCTTGATGTAATTTGATCGAAGTGCCTCAGGTAGGCCTGCTCTGTGGTGTTGTTCATTGTGCACATGTCAAAAATGAAACTTTATTCTGAAAACAGAAAGCTAACTGCAAAACTGAAAGTCTGTGATGCAGAGTTTTGAAACATTCTTCACATCCTTTGCAAGTCCTGCTGCCACAGCTATGCTGCAAGAAAGCTGCTTTTATTTAAAGCATTTCTAAAGGTTTTAGTACCTGCATGAAATCAGTAAAAAGATCTTCATCATGCTCTTAACTAAAAAAAAAAAACCTTTTAAAACCAAGTCATTTATTCGTAATTTAATTATTAGGTATCTGCAGAAGGATAAAAACCAGGAGAAGCATTCCTTCTGTCTTTGCTTTATCTTAAATGCACCAGGTGAGATTGAGTGAAAACTACTCATGCCCTTTATCTCTCATCTGTTTCAGATTCTCACATTCAATTCTGCAGCTTGTGAGATTTTCCACAAGCTTTTAATGTCAACAATATTTATGGGGCTTTGTACTTTTCTGCATACTTTAAGGGATGACATTATGGTTTTTTTTCGGAAGGCTATGTTTAAACAAAACTTGATAGGCAAAACACGGATCATACATCATCATTTATTTAAAACCAGAACATTACTGTGTTTTTGTATGTGTAAGCCAAGTCTCCAGTCGTGTTGGGAACTTGTTTTGCTTTTTATGCTTGTACATGAAATATTACAAAAATTAAAGATTGACCTGAAAGGCTTCTTGAATTGTCCTTACCGTGCAATTATCAAACACAATGCTCGTCTCCTGGGCAACAAAAAACATCCCCACGTTTCTCGGTGCTGCTCTCCACCAACTATAGCAGCCATCCTTAAAAGCTCAGAGTGATTCATGGCGACCCATTCAGCCTGAACAGCATCCAGAGCCACAGAACTGAACTGCGCCTGGTCAGAAGCCTTTTAAAAATGTGGCAAATGTTAAACAAGGCTGACTGTGCACCTTGGTCACTGCCAAACCAGCCCAAACCCTTCTCAGCTGAAGGAAAGGAAGAAGAAAAGAGACAGTTTTATTTTATTATTTTGCCTTCTTTGGTAGCTTTTGTTGAAGGTCAAACAAAACAGAAAACTTTGTGAACGCGACAGTGCATGGAGACCTGAAGATGATAAGCTGTGTATGTTACTGACCTGTATATGGTGAGCTTCTTACGCCTTGGGATTTTTGTTTATTTGCAGATGTTGGTGGCCACGTGTTGCTGTTCATGTTTCTGAGATCTATGGGATATTTGGGGGCTTCTGCCCAAACCAAAACATAGTTTAACAAAGTTAAGTCAGATCCTCTGTACGATAAAAAAAAAATGTTGAAACAAATCGTCTTTTATCCAAAATACTTTGTCAGTCAGAGGAGCTGCAATAAACTCATTCTTATAAATAGTACTTTCTTATAGTGGATCAACCAGAATGGGAGGAAGATCTTTCAGTTATCAGGCTCCTCTCTTGTGGAACCGACTTCCAGTTTCTGTCCGTGAGGCTGACACATTGTCCAGTTTTAAGACTGGGATTAAGACTTTCATTTTTGATAAATCCTATAGTTAGGGTTGGTTTGTTATGCTGCTATAGGCTCAGACTACTTGATGACAAATTGACCTCATTTCCTTAAATGAATTGTTAAAATTGAAGTTTTCATTTTATATTATTTCTATCTTAACGTGATTCTCGACCTGCCATTGTGTATCTATTCCTCTCAAACCCAGCCAGTCGAAGGAGATGGCCGCCTGTCCTGAGTCTGGTTCTGCTCAAGCATATGTGTCAAACTCAAGGCCCGCGGGCCAAATGTGGCCCTCATTGACATCTTATCTGGTCTCCAAGATGTTATTTTAAATGTAAAATAAGTTTATCACTTAATTCTTTTCAGTAATCTTTGATTATGATGTCAAAAGTTCAACAGAAAATGTCAAATGAGACTAATCAAACTCTTGTCGAGGAACCTGCAACTAAGAAAAGATGTTGGGTATCTAACGTGAGTTCATGTAGATTCTGAAACTGGCCCTTAGTTTGGAAAAAGGTTTTAATTTTGACCCCCCCTTGTAAATGGGTTTGACACCCATGTAGGTTTCTTCCTTATGACGGAGTTTTTTCTTTCCACTGTCGCCTTCATGCTTGCTCAAGATGAGAGTTCTGTGATGGAGTTAAATTCAACACAGTCTGCTCCTCAGATAAATAATGTTAAATTATTGTTTTATACATGAATGTTTCTGTTCAGTGCCGTGCAATGACTTCTGTTGTGACTTGGTGCTATATAAATAAACTGAACTGAATTAAATTGAATTAGTTTACTGGTGACAGCCAAATCTAGATGTTCACATGATAAAGGAGGACCATCAACCTAACCTACTGATAGCACTTTGATGCTGTTTACTATTCACAGGGGGCTGAGTGACACTAGCAATAACAACATTGTTGGAAGGTGACAATTGGACACAGAGGCCTCTACCCCTGTTTAATCCATCCATCCATTATCTTTTACCCACTTCTTCCTTTTTGGATCGGGGGGGTCACTGGTGCCCATGTCCAGCTATCACTGTGCGAGGGACATCCTGGACAGGTCTCCAGTCCATCACAGGGACACATAGAGACAAACAACCATTCACTCTCTCACTCACACCTAGAGGCAATTTAGAGTTATCAACCAGCCACATGATTTTGGTCTGTGGGAGGAAACTGGAGTACCCGGAGAGAATATGCAAACTCCACCTAGAGGGCCCCCGGACCGGGATTTGAACCGGCGACCTTCTCGCTGAGAGGCAGCAGCTCTACCATTTGTGCCACCGTACTGCCCCTGTTTAATGATGGACAATTTCTTTTCACAAAGATGGCCTCCTTTACTCCTCTCTCAAACCATCGTTCCTCTCTGTCCAGGATGTGAACATCTTCATCCCTGAAAGAGTGACCGCTGGCCTGGAGATGAGTGTAGACCGCAGAGTTCTGGCCTGATGATGTTGATCTTCTGTGCTGGACCATCCTTTTTTCCATCATCTATCGTTAAACAGGGGTGGAGGTCTCCACGTCCAATTGTCACCTTCTTACAATGTTGTTATTACTAGTATCACTCAACCCTCTGTGAATAGCAAGCAACCATCAGGGCACTAATGATCAGTCATTAGGCTGATGGTCCTCCTTTTGTATGTGAACAGCTACACTATGAGATGGTGTTATTTATAAGACTGAGTTTACTGCAGCTCCTCAGACTGACAATCTTTTGGATAAAAGATGAAAAGTTTCAACATTTTATTTTTTTATTTTATTCTTTTTTTTAAACTTTGTTATATATTTCTACCTGGATTATTGAGCATTCATCAGAATATAAAACATAGTTGATCTGTTTTTCTCAAGGCGTGACTTTAGCAATTCATGATAAATGTGTCCTTGAGATAAATAATAACATTTCTTGGAGAAAACAAGATTAGAGCAAAGTAATTACCTTGTGTAGTTGTTTGACAGCTGACAATCAGCGTGTCACATTTAAGCCGTCTGGATTAGAGAGGCAGCCAAACTGCTTCAGTTCAGAGGAAAGTAACATGATGCCCAAAACACATATGAACTGTGTATGTTTGCATTCTTTTGTTTCATTTTACTTTTTTTTAAAGAAACATCACTGTTATTGTGAAAATATTCTCTATTTTAGGATGCTCATGAAACTTGACCGCACTTGGTTACATAGAGAGGTCACCATCTTGTTTCTGTGGTTAGTCAAGTTTGAGTCCGTCTCTGCGGAGGAGCGATGCTACAGTAATCTTGTTATGCATTCCTCTGTGGTCAGACAGGATCCATCAGGACTTCATTAAGGCCTGGAGGAGTGTAAACAACACTCGGCTCTACTTTATGTGTTTAGTTGCCAATCAAACCTCCTTCTCTTCCTCCTCAGACTCAGATCCTCCTTCAGTTTGACCGAGGATTAATTCCAATTATTCACACACTCATTTTTAGATTTTCTCTCTTTACTGCTGTTTTCTTTGTCTTTTCCTCTAAACCCACCTTCCGCTGAAAGGTCTGTGTGTGTGTGTGTGTGTGTGTGTGTGTGCACTCGTGTGTGTGTGTGTGTGTGTGTGTGTAGTCAGCATTTAGAAAAGAAATCTGGATTTGTTTGAGCTGCACCAATTGTATAATAAACTGCCTGGGGTTAAATCTTGAAGACAGCAGGTTATTTCAGGCTACACTTAATAACAATGCAGGATCTTTACTGGACAGGATGTATATGAAAATTTTGAAACACATTTTTTAAATTTCATTTTAAACTTAAATATCAGCTCAACAAAAAAATAAAAAATAAAAAGGCAAATATTTCCACCAAAATATTCTGTAAACAAAACAAAACGTTAGAAAAGGGAGCAGGAAGAAGCAAAAGTTTAACCAGTCCTGTCCCTAAGTTTACATTCAAATTATGAGTTCATTGTACACAAAAATACATAAATATCCATGCATGGATACTTGCAGCATACTGTATACATGCCTACATGCATGTATAGCTACGTATACATAAATATACCTGCAGATAGAAATTTACTCTGTATCGCCTACAGATCTAAGCTTAATCTGCAAACACACAGATTAACAAAAATACCATATTTTTTGGATTATAAAGCACACCGGATTATAAGGCTCATTAAGCGAAAGAAGTTCATTTTAACAGATTTTTGAGCACCGTGTACCCCATAAAATTGGTTCGAGGTCAATAAGCACAACCAGAATTAATACATAAGGCGCACCAGATTATAAAGCTCACTGTCGATTTTTGAGGAAAGTAAAGGATTTTAGGTGCACTTTGTAGTCTGAAAAATATGGTAACAGCTAGAATAGCATCATTTTGCCTCATTCATTTTTATACACATTAATTTTGCAATCCTTGTCTGTTCTCTTGAATTATATGCGTCATAAGATTTTACTGTTTATTTAATTCAAAACAAACTACTAGTAGTAATGCACTCTTCATGGGTTTATGCTTCTTTGCACAGGTATCACTTCGCCTGGAGTTTGAGTTCAGTCAAACTATCCTCCTGGATCACCTCAGAGTCATCCTTGAAGCCAGCAGGTTTGAAAATCATCTTAAATCCTTAATTGTATCAAATCCTTGACATTCAAGTTTATTCTGTCTTTGTGTGGAGGCAGGTCTACACTGAAGCATAACAATAAGAACAGCTGTAAAGTTCTTGTTTGTGATCTTTGAGTACGTTTGGTCTCTCAACAGTGATGGAGAGGAGACGAGCAAAGCAGATAACTTTAATGATATCTATTACTTCCTGAAATATGAAGGAGACCTTCTGTTTACAAGGTTTGTCATTTCTTTTTAACTTCTTACCAAACAGTGAGTGTTTTTGAGGCTCTTTTGATTTCAGTAGCCGTAAACTTGGAAAATACTGGATTTTGTTGAGGGAATAATAAATTCCAGAAAGTAAAGTTGGAATGTAAACGTGAAGTCACAATGTGTGCTGCTCTTGTTTTTCATTTTTTACTTTGAAAGGGATTCAAATCCAACTCGGTATGAGATCAAGTCAGAGCTCTCACTGGAGGAGCCTGGAGTTATTGGCCCGCCTTTTAACTTCACTTTCCAGGTGAGAGTCAGTTTTATCAGCTCTGTCTTGAATACAGGGAGAGAAAAAAAAACAACTGACTGGAAATGATTCACACAGTCTGTTCCTCTCTGTGTCTCAGATTCAGAACCTTGGATACTTTCCAGTAAGAAATCTGCAGCTGAACATTGAGATCCCAGAAATGACAATAAACGGGAACAAGCTCCTGGAAATACTGGACTTCCATGTTGACCAGGTGAGCTTGAGCTGAAACATTAGTCTTGTGAATTTAAACAACGGAGAACTAACAGTGGCATGTTAAAATATCACACAAAACTGTCCAAAATGCAAGTCAAGTTTAGTTGTTTTTTTTTGTCAGTGTATCGATTTTGTCAGCTGCCTTTGTTCTCGCTCATTAGCTCAACATCTGTATTCAATCCCTGACCCGTTAGCCCTCCCCAGCTGCCCCATCAGTGCATCATGTAGATTATCTTCAGTTATCACTCAAGCTGCTTATTCCTGCTCACTGCTTGTCATATTTCTTGCCATGCTCTTTTTACATTTTGGATTATTTTTGGTTTATAAGGACTTAGGTTTAGGATCCTAAACGTACCTTCTTTTCCAAGTCCTTCCACCACTACAACATCTGCATTCACATCACAATGTGAATGTGAACTGTGATGCATTCTGCATCACAGTTATGTTGTGTTACTAAAAGGCTTAAAATGAAATTATATTAATGAAATGATGCTATTATAATCCACGCCATAAAAAACTATAACTCTAGAAAGACTGGAATTGACACATCATTAAATTATACACGTATATGTCTTATAAGGGGTGTATTTATGATTTTCAAATTTGAAAACATGCTTTATTGTTCACTATTACAAGCTGTCAGCATATCCTAAAGTTTTTTTTATTATGTAGTTTGGTGTAAACAGTTGTTGGGTCATTTGTTGCACTTTAGGTTTACTATCTTTATTTTTTATGAACATTTAAAAAGTTGAACATTCTGCAGTACCTTGCAGTGGTTACTACATTGTGATATAAATTTTCTGTTAAGATGTACTGCATTTGCTCACTTAGCTTTTATTTTAATAGATTTTTTTTATTTTTACAGATACTCATTTTCTCTCTTTAACAGGGGTGTCATCAAGTGGGGGCAAGGGTGGGCTGTGGCCACCCCAAAAAATATTAGTGGCCCCCAATGGCCTCCAATAACCCCTCCAGCCAATGCTTTTGGACATGCCTCAATAAACTGAATATATATATATATAATAAAATAACCAAACATAGACCTGCATTTATCAGAAGTTGGTTCTTTAACAGTTAACTCCAGTATTGCAGTAATTGTCTAATAACTGATAAAGTACAAGAACATAACAAACCTCCTGAAATTCTGTTCTGGCTTTTGGTTTTGGTGATACCTCACAACTTTTGGTGGCCCCCACATGACTGACCCCCCATTAAACCCTTTCTGCTCTTTAATGCTTAAGCCAGCTGTGTTAGATTTTTTTTTCTTGCTGATCATTTACCTTAAACTAATTAAATAAAATGTAGGACATGATAAATTAAGGATTTTGCTCAGTCTAAGCTAAACTAAGCTAGGCTAGGCTAACTGCATTTCCAGCCTCTAAGATCACACAAAAGATGAATATTTATCCTCTTTTAGGGAATTTCTTCTGCACAGTCATTGTCAGAGCATTGTTTTACTGTGTATCTACTGAAATAAGATCTTAAAATACTAAATTATTTATTTATCATTCTCACGTCATGCCTCAGAGAAATGGGACACGTTGTTTACCACCTCAACACATGGCAGAGAGCAGAGCTTCACCGGAGGACCTAACCCGTGTTTCACGCTTGGTAAAGAAGAAACTCAGTAAAATCCTTCCTCAGTAATATTTTTATGTCACACTTTGCCATGGACCTCTTTGTGTTTCTTCACAGAATCGGTCCAACACATTAACTCTGCCAGTCCAGTGCACAGTCAATGTGGTTTCCCACAGAGAGGTTGCGGTCAGGATGGCAGGAGCACTGAGAATAGATACGTTACACGCAGTGAGTTGAAACACAACATCCATGCAGAATATGTATTTATTTATAGTCATAACTATCTCTGTCATGGTTTGACTTGTTTGTAAAAAAGTGGTTGCTTGTTTTGATGTCCTGTCCAGCTGAAGTTTAAAATCCTGGAACTGGTAACCAGTGCATCGGTGGAGCTCCCCTCCTCCAGCCCCATGTTTCTACAGGAGGAGAGGCCCGTCAGACATGTGAGTCAACACCAGCTCATGCTGTAAGCTGTCTCTGACCCGGGGTTGACCTGCTACAAAACTAACTATGAAACAAGCAGTACATTTGAATAATATTTAGTCTCCTTTGTTTCATTATTAGTTCAGCGAAACAAACATTAAAAAACTATTTGGATGAGCCCAAAATGTGATAATTTGCTCTGCAATAATAATAATAATAATCATTTTATTTAAAAAGCGCCTTTCAGGACACCCAAGGACACTTAATGATACGTAATGATTATTGTACTAACTTATTTCTTCATTGTGGCCAATTTTTTGACCCAGGATTAACTTTATTTTGTAGTTATACATGGCACACAACAAAAAATATGTGTTTGAGCACACATGGTGCTTAGGGACCGAAAGGACCAGCAGCACAGAAACAAGACAAGCACTAATCTTTGCTGCCATCTGTTGGTCAATAACTTTAACTTTAACTTGATAAACTTCATTGTCATTCAAAATTGTACGGTGCACCATGCAAAACTGAAACAAATTTTGTTTCATGTCTCCACAGCAGTATAGTAGTACATCATTTACATGGATTGTATAAACTTTGGTGTTCAGAGCAGAAGATGCAATTCAAGGAATGTGCAAATGTTAGTGAATGTTCCTATATACACCTACATTTATATGCTTGTACATGTATCTACATATACATAGCATATTCATTACATTATTTACTGAGGGTTCTTTAGTGATTTTGGTCATTTATGGTACTTTGTATTTTTACATAAAAACATGAAGACCTAGAAAAGGGGAATTTGCTTTGTTGCATAACGTATACACTATTCTTGCTGTAAATATATATTTTTTCACAACATTTAACAAAATGTTTAAAGTCCAGTTAAAGCATTGTCATTGTTTTAATTTACACATTTATTTGTTGATTAAGGACTGGCTTAGAACCAGTAACAAATGGAAAAAGGATGTGAGGTATCAACAAATGTTAATGTGTTTAGTTAATGGGGCAGCAGTGGCTGAGTGGTTAGAGCAGTCGTCCTCCAATGCAAGAGTTGGGGGTTCAGTTCCATCAGAAGTCATATGCTGAAGTGTCCCTGGGCAAGACACTGAACCCCTCATTGCCTCAGATGTGTGTCCCATCGGTGTATGAATGTGATAAAGCACTGATTATTCTTTGTAGAGATCTAATAGAGAGCTGTATGAATGGGTAAATGAGGACACAGATTGTTGTGTAAAGAGCTTTGAGTGTCTTGATAAGATAGAAAGGTGCTATATAAGTACAATCCATTTACCATTTAATGTTCTTTGACATAAAAATGTGGACTAATGATCATTCTTGCCTTTAGGTCCTGTCTGTTTGACTTTATTGTAAATTAATTTCTTGTGATGGAGCCAAGTTCAAACCAAAACTCTTTATAATATCAAACACATAACACTTACTTTCCCTTTAACCTAATCTATGTTTGTAGTATTCCCTTCAGTGAAAGGTCTGCAGTGACCAGTATACTCCTAATCAATTAAAAAGCTGTAAATCTTTTAATATGTCTTGTGAATATATCTTTGTTTTAAACTGCTGCAGCAAATACTCAGACTGATTAAACACAGAATGGTTTTCATTGACGTTTACTCTTCAGGGCTACTTTAGTATATAATGAACCTTTTAGCACACTGTTTTTTATAACCATGCTCAATATAATCCTGTCTTATCGATAAACGTCTTTTTGTCTTTTTTTTTTACCTAATCTTATTTGACAGATAATACTGGAGATCAGGAAGGAGGGAGATTACAGAATCCCCACCTGGATTATTATTGGCAGCACACTGGGAGGACTCTTATTGTTAGCTCTTCTCAGTCTGGCTCTGTGGAAGGTGAGTTATCATCTGGCACAGCCATTTAATAAAACAATACCTTCACGGTATATTTGTTGTTCTAGCTCTTGTCTCTAGATGTGAAAGCTGATTCCTTGATGTTGGAACACTAACGTTGTTTCAGAGTCCGTCTGGATGTTGGATTTCAAAGTTTCCACACATCCCACGTCCTTCTCCTTACAGACGCCCTCTCTAGGTTTCCTCATATAGTAGCATTCCAACAGTATTCATTTATCTGGCCTCATCCAGGAACGTCTTGTTCCAGGAGTCCATTTCTCGTCAGAATATCCTGGGTCTCCAGCAGCTGACTCAGACCATGTCAATCTAAACGACCCCAGAGTGAACCAGTGGTGTAGTATACGTGATACGTGGGTATATGGAGTATACCCACTAGAAAAGTTAAAAAAATTTCAGTATACCCACTTAAAAGTGCCCAATGACGATGTATCATTAGACATGCATCATTGATATGTTAAATGGTAGTTAAACAGGTCTCTCTTGTAAATGAGTCCTCGAAGCTCAATGGGATTAACCTGTATAAATAAAGGTTGAATGAATAAACGCTTCCGTAACAATCTATCTGTATGCAGCGCTTTGCTTTGATACTGTTTGATAAATTCCATAACATGTTTTTAATACAAAGCCAACTGTTGTACAAAGTTTGTTGTACATTTATTCAAATATAAGCATCAGAGAAATTTGGAAATGTTCAGTATGCTCAAAAATCAAAATAAATTGATGATTACATTGTACTAACCAGTGTACTTTGGTTTCTAAGTACAGTATACCCACTACAAAAAGTAGACTTCACCACTGGAGCCAACGTGTAACATGTATAACTTGTATAACATGTATAACATGTATAACATATAATTTGTATAACATTATTAACATGTATAACATGTATAACTTGTATAACATGTATACCCTGAAAGCTGTGGCCTTACGTACTGTCTAATGTTTTTGATTGACTGCTCTCTGACCCAGCTCGGGTTCTTCCAGAGGCAGAAGCGAAAAGAAAAGGACGAGCAGGAAGCCAACGGGAACGTGGCCGACGAGCGATAACGCAGGGTGACGACTCCCGGCGGATACCTTTCTCCACAGAGGACACTCAGGGACCAACCCACCTCCCCACTCCTCCTCAGCACCACAGCAGCAGAACAAAGATGGCACCACATGATGCAAGGCTTATTCAGTGCACTGGACCTGTCCCACGACGTAACCCCTGACCTTTGTGTCAGCCTTGTCACTCTCACTTAACATTCCTGCACTGCTACCACAGTCTGTTTCCACCTCTGTACTCCACTGAGCGCCCTGTCCCTCCACATGTCCTGACTCTTTCGACAGATCAATGGGACTAATTTTGATTGATTGATTAGATCTGAAACGGTCGGGCTAGGTTTTGTCTTTGAGGCAGAAAAACAGTAGTTTTGCTGTTCTATCTCTTCAAGATGTGTATTTATTTACCTTTGATTAAACGTCATAAAATGTTGGTAGTTGGTTGGTGACTTTCTCCCAACGACATTATAAATGTAAAAATATTGTAATGTATATGGAAAGTATTGTTTACATTTTTTTTTATCTAGAACGTTTTAGTCATAATTTAAGAAGAACCGAAACGGAACTGAACTTTCTTGATGTTTAACTTTATTATTATTATTATTATTATTATTATTATTATTATTATTATTATTACAAGCAGATGTTTTTAATAACACATCTAGAGAAACACAAGATTGTCTTTAAACATTTTGATGCACTTTTTTAAACTCATGTAAGAGGTGACCTTGTATTTGTAAATAGTCAAGTGCCTTTTAATACCCTTCAAGTATTTTTTTACACTATTTCCACATTTTATATGACTCTTTTTTTTAATGTGACAGGATCGTTACAGTATGTGACCATTTCATGCCTTTTACATGCACTGCATCAGAGCAAGGGGTGTGCATGAAATACTGACAGAATGTTTCAGATTAGATTAGTTTAATGATTTTAAATTAAAATGTTACTGAATCAAAAGAGATATTATAAACATGATGCACATTGCTCCAGTTATAATTTTGTTTTGCTACAAAACAACACAATATGCACACAAGCACTGTGTTTAATGTCTTTTTAGTGAAAATCTAAGAAGTTTCAACTAGGGATGCACAATATTGGATTTTTGCCGATATCCGATATGCTGATATGTTAAAACTAATTTGACTGACAACCAATAACCGATACCAATACCATTTTTTTTCCCCTAGACCTACTTACAGAGACCACATAGCTTTCTCTACTGTGGGATTAAAACACTACACTATTCTGCATGGTCTTTGTCAGTTTGGCCTGCTACCAGATACAGATGTCAAAAAGGGACTGAAAATGATGCAACACTTCAACTTGGATTATGTTTAAAGTCAAATTTATTCATGACATTTTCTCTCTCTAACACAATGACAACACTCGAACAGTGAAAATTTGTAAATTTTCACAAATCCAAACTCAACCTGTTCACAGGTGACAAGTGAAAAGCACATAAGTAGTAATTAAAAAATAACTTAAAAGAGAAGCTTTTTATATCGGTGAGTTATTTTGATGGAATGGCCGATGTCTGATATTTAACTTTATCGCTAATATCGGCTGATACCGATACCATGCTGATAATATTGTGCATCCCTAGTTTCATCTAAATGAAAAATGAATGGATGGATTCTCAACTATTTCAATGCTGATGACAAAAAGCTACATTTGCTGTACAGCTGTGGAAGTAGAATAATGAATAAAGGGATTTGGAAATATGATTATTTATGTTTTTTTAAGCTTTGCAATGAAATAAAAAAAGGTTAACGTTGATAAATTCTCATTTCTGAAATAAAACCAATCCCATGTTTTACAGTGTAACAAAGTACTGCAGTTGTAAGAGGACTTACTAATATATATATTTTTCAAACCGTATGTTTAATCAGCTTTTTTGATAATAAAAAAAAGTGAGAGTTTAAGATTAATTTATTTCTGCCGAGCTATGGTTCAGCTGCAAACATTTAGCATTTTAATCTCTTAAGAAATAATTCAAGAAAGACATTTATTGCCATTAAATGTCAGTGAGACGACACACATAAATGATATTTTGTGGAGCGTTTAACGTTTAGTGTGAGATCTGTTGGACTGGTAAACCATTCACCCGTTTTAAAATAGCACACAGAAACTGCAGCTTGTCACTTTTGAAAATTAAACTGTTCAATTTTTCTACCCGAGTTGAAAATTATGGATACGGCCAAGTGAGGTGGATGTACATGTGTCGCCTGTTTAAGTGGCAGCTGGTACTTAAATGAAAAACCTGAGTCCAGATGTTGCAGTACTGTTTCCTTTTACTAACCTTTTAGACCTAATGTGCCTCCTCTGGTTTTATATTTAAATATAAACAGTACAAATAGCTCTGAATCATTTGCTATCAGAAAAAAACACTGAAATGTATTTTTGTTTGCTTAAATTAGTGGCGTAAGAGGACGTTCCCCACAACAGCCCCATAAATTAATTTAAATGTCTTTTTCAGTGTAGAAGAACGACTTTAATTTTATTTTAGCCACAGCAGATGAGGAGAATTATATTTATATGTAAAGACTGTGCTTAAAGAACAAAGTTTAAATGTCTGATAAAGTTAAAGTCAATTGAGGAGGAGTTTGAAATTGTAATGACACAAATAAACACCAGGAGCTGAACAACCTTCTGCTTGAGTGTAGACTCACAGGGAAACGTTTCATTCATTTCTTCATTCTTCCATAAGTCATGATGCCTTTAACTAAATGTGCAGTGATTTTACTGAAAACTGCACAAAAATCATATAGATAGCAGCATAGGCGGCTCCAGGAATTTACCTCGGAACTGGAAGTGAAAATTCAAGTCACTGAAAGTTCAGTAAACATTTGAAAAGTGCAGGAAATGCAAAAATGGACTGTTTTCTATTACCCAAATCGCCTAGAATGGAATCAGAGAAGGAGGATTTTTTTTGGAAGCAGACTGCAACCAACAAATAAAGAATAATTTGGAAGAAAGGGATCAAGCCTACTGCCATCCTTCCACATCTATGGAGAATGCTGCTAACGCTAGCGCTGGACAGCTGGAGGATGGAGCCAGCACGAGTCCTCTTCGTGGTGTATCCTGGTCTGATCCACCAGCAAAACCCCAGGAAGACGAGTGACCTGGTGCCTTCAACAATGACCCGGTAAGGAGCAGAACTTGGTGACATGATGCCTCTGGTTATGCCATTTTTAGCTGATGCAACTCAATAAATCATTTCCTGGCTTGTAGTGATAAAAAATGACTTTATCTGATCACATTAAATAACTTCTTTCAACCAAAATCCAAAGTAAACTATTTATTAAAATAGTCAAACTTTGTCTAAATTCATGCGCGTATAAAACTGAAATAATTCCTGCTCAGAGTCAATTTTGCTTTAAATAAAAGAATTAAGCCTTGATTGATTCATTATTATTGTTTGTTTATTATTGTTGTCAATTCTTCGTTTGGTTATTTTTGTAATAAAACTTCAAAGACAACTTTGGTCTCTTCATTCAGATGAATATTCATTTATTCTGGTATAGAACTCCCTGTAATTAACAGATTCTACTGCAGTGACTGATTCTGATCATTAAAGGGTGAAAATATTAATTACGTTGTTGTTGGTCAGTAAAGTGACCAGCAGGCGCCACACTTTAATGAATGAAAAATAAATAAAGCAAATGTAGTGGAGTTGAGATGGAAAAGGTGTCACCCTTCTTCCTCCATCTCACCCTTTGCTATTGCTACAAGCTTCTACCCTGAGGCTGTTAAACTCATTAATCCCTAGTCAGGATTATCACTGTGAAAATTACTGTGAAAAATTCACTGTAATGCAACTTGGCTGTTGATATGTGCTGCTGACTATCCATGCTGCTGATCTCATGCTGCTGATTTATTTCATGTTGCTGTGTTCATTCGTGCTCATCTGCTCACACAGACTCATGTTCGTGCTGCTGTTGTTTGGCACGTTGTTTTATACTATTAGTGCTTATTCTTAGTTTAGTGTATTTCGTAGTTCATGTCTCGGATCTAACTACTGTTTTTCTTTACAATTTGTATTTTTGTGGGATGGAACTGGAACCCTGTGTACAAAGTTTCGTTCCACCTCATGTACCACATGTGATGTGAATGACAGTAAAGACACCTTGACCTTGAGAACTGAAGGAACAATTGATCCTTCATAGGGAGCCGAGATGGTGTAGAGGCAGGGCAGCCAGCTTGGGACCCAAAAGTCCCAGGTTCGATCCCCAGTCACTGCATATCACGTGGTGTCTTTGGGCAGCACACCTCATCCCCAAAATGCCTCCCGGGCGCTTTCAATAGCTGCCTACTGCACCACCTGGTGGTGGATGGGTTAAATGCAGAGACTAATTTCGCCATTGTATGGAAACATACAGTGCTGACATTGTGATGACATTATTATTATTATTATTATTATTCATAGCCCCCCCCAAAAAAATGCTTCCCCCCCCCCCCCCCCCCCCCCCCCCCCCCCAGCACCTGCAGAAAAATATTTCTGGATAGTAGGATTTTAAAAAGTGTCAGTCTAATTTGATTTTCCAAGTTGATTGAAATTAAAAGAAAACAGAATATACATTGAACTGAATAAAAAGAATATAAGTAAAAATAAAGAATGAATATTGGCAAAAGTGGGATAATAGTCCAGCAGGGTGGCAACGTTTATTGTTGCAAGAAAGGTTTAATTTCTTAACTTTCTCGACTTAACTTTGTGCATCCAGAGTGTTTTTTCATGTTAATAAATGACACATTTTACATGAAACATTATTTAACCAAGAGCTGTTTGTCAGATATTTTCTTTTCTGGATTTGACACACAAGCACACGCACAGAGCTGAACGTCTGTTATATATATATATATATATATATATATATATATATATATATATATA